TGTAAATATAAATTATTATCACATCCAAACGCCATCATCAGTGAAGACCGCAAACCATATTATTAGGGACAGCGATATCTGTGTTCGTAAATTCAATTCAAATACAATTAACAAATAATTATAACGCAAACACAAAATTAGTTTACTATAAAAACATAACAACAAAACATACCAATCATTTTAGGCAAATCCAGGTTTAGATTAGCCATTATCTCAATGAACTCCTCCTTTGATTTTGTTAGTCTCAGATTAAAGCGTTTTTCTTCGGTTATTGTCGACAGTAATTGTCCTGAAATTTAAATAACAACAAAATTACAAACCATTGCCAATAGTGTTGTATAATAAATGGCAAACCTTTATAGTCATGAGCGGGAAATACATTGAAATTGTCGGGTAATGTGAAAATCTTTTGATGTATTGAATCCCATAATAAGCCCGAATCGCCTGATTGTAAAAATAATACATTTTATTTGATATTTTTGACCACTTTTAGGTAAAAAGTTAAATACCCTGTTGAAAGTCTGTACGACCACACCCTCTGATTAGTAGCGCATCGCCAGTGAATACCAAACCGTTATCGGTGTCCACATAAGTGACACAACCATTTGTATGACCTAATGAGTAACATTACATTCAATTAGAAACATATAAAATATTTGGTGCAATCAATTGGTGACAAATACCAGGAGTGGATAACACTTTCAATTTGATGGATTCGCCGCAAGTGATCACATCATTCTCATCCACTTTGATGTCAGCTTTGGCTCCACTTATTTCGGAGATAATACTCTTGACAGTGGGTTGCGATGGATTGGTGTTGAGTCTGGTCTTTATGAGTCCGGATCCGGTGACGTGATCGGCGTGACAGTGAGTGTTGGCCACGTATTTCAACTAATGTTAGACATGTTTCAAATTGCTATTCACTTCAAAATGCAAATGAGTTGTAAAATAATTTACATTTAAACCAATCTCTTTAACTAATTGCAAATCTCTATCCACACACTCGAGCACCGGATCAATAAGTATGGCCTCTTTAGTGACCTTATCGGCCAACAGATAGGTATAAGTGCACGATATTCTGTCAAACAACTAGTTAAAAGTTTTATTGCATTAATTAAAACATTTCAAAGTAATCATCAATTAATGAAATACCTGTCGAAAGAGCACACGTTTGCTAATTAGACTCATCGCTCGCCTCTAATGGATCTGAAAAATTAATTAATTAGAAAACGATTGCAGAAAAATAATTATTGAAATGAATTAACCGATAGTTTTATAACAACTTTTTATAAGTGTCACACAATCTGTAGTATACATGCAATAAATCACGAAATTTAAATGCTTATAACAGTTACCATAGTATTTATAGTCTGATTGATAGCATGGGATTGTTATTCAAGTGAATTGCAAACCAAATTGCACTTAAAAAGCACTCAATTAGAGAGCAATTGCACACCAATGCCAACAAATAATAGCCCATTATATGCTATAATTGTTATGCATTATTATGCCATAAATAGTTATGTAACTTAAGTTATTATTAATATTTCTAATATTAATTTTAATAGAGGTTAACAAGTAATGCTAGGGTAAAATAATAAATGTCATTTCATTATCATTATATGTCACTTAATGTTGTGATAAATATTGTACCTTGATACTTAAAAAACAAGGATTCCCTGCAATGGATTATGTGGTGAATTATCTAGATTTGTGTAAATATTGCAGCAAAATATGATAAACAAGATAACACTATTAGAAAATAACCAAATTGTAATTGATTACCACGAACCTATATACAGATTAATTACTTTCTCGTATTACAAAGTGCAAAATGAAAAAGTTTAATTCTAAAAAGTTAACTTCATAGTTTAAATATGCTGGGTCAAAATGGTCAAAATATAAGCTAGTATTTAGATTACATGTTAATTTGATATGCATTAACAGCATGAGTGAATCTATAATGGACTTACATATTCAATATGTATAATAATTGTCAAATGATTTAATAAACAAGATTAAATGTCAGATTAATTATAATTGTGTTATAACACAACCAATTGATTGGCGATTAGTTTTTTAAATGCCTTCACAAACACTGCAAAAGGCATTGAAATGCGAAAACAGTAAATGAGAGCCAATTGTTAGGCCTTTTGGATACCAGACAAAAGCATTGCTTTGTATGTTAAGCGACACTATAATAAGGGCCCACACATGACGTCAGGTATTGTAAACACAGCACCAAAACACGTGTTTGTGTTGAAAATCACAACACAATTGACAAACAAATTGTGATTTAAATCATTAGTTAATTAATAATTAAATTAATTGTAAAACAAATATATAATTATCGCAAACAATGGGCAAAAGGAAGCGAAAGGTATTTATCATGTTTTCACATGTATTTAATTCACTGTTTAATGTGAACCGCAAACTCACGGCATGTCTTGTATTTTTACCATCGATTCCCACCAAATGATAGTCGAAGAAGGGATCCAAAGCTGGCGGCGAAGAGCCGGAATCGGTGACAAAAGCTCCGCACAGTTTTGTCATAAAACGTGGTAAAGTCGGCAAAAATGTGAACGAATTGTTGCACAACTTTCGACAAGTGTTGGAACCGTTTACAGCGATGTCGCTGAAGATCAAACGCTATAACGTGGTGAAGGACTTTGTGCACATCGCCTCCAGTCTGAATGTCACTCATTTGGTGATCTTCACGAAGACAGTGAAGGCCGCGTACCTGAGACTGTGTCGAGTGCCGAGAGGGCCGACACTCACCTTCAAAGTAGTCAACTATACGCTGACGAAAGACGTCCGGTCGGCGCTCAAGAGGCCGCTCGTCTACTCCGGTCTCTTCCAGTTGTCGCCGCTTCTGGTGCTGAACGGGTTCACCGGCGACGAAGAGTTGCGCATGAAATTGATGACATCGA